CTGGCTGTTGACTCTGATGGCTGCTACAGGCCGGCGCCCATCTTGCATTGCCACACATCAGAGCAGTGGGCGGCGGTCACGACTGTTCGCAGCAAAGTGAAGTGAGCAAGCAAATGAGGTGTCGAGAACTGTTTTTTCGCAACTGATGCCTAGCAGAATCGGTCGCTCAATTGAAAAGTGACACAAGCGCGCTCACATACAGACCACACCCGCAGGGCGTACTGTATTCCCCCACTACAGTGAACCCATCGGGGGTCGGCGGCACGTTCGCTATAGCCGGCTTGTTCGCTATCGCGAACAGTGAATTTTGGCAGCTGCTGGTTCGCTGTGGCGGGGGAAGTCACAAAATTCAGCATTTGAGGGCTGCTTTGCACTGTATGCCAACAGCCACTTAGTATTCTTTACCAAAATCAGCTCAATGGGGCCAATGGGGTGGTAGGCTGCCTCGCCGGCTGCCCTGCCGGCTGGATATGCAGCTTGCGCTGCAGCAGGCACGCCTTTTCTGCTTGGTGGCCTCTGCAGACATGGCTCAGCCCGTATTATGAGCTCTGAAGTGTTAGCAATTGCGGGAACCAGTACTGGAAGATCATTGTGATGCCGCCAAGTGAATGTGAGACATGCCAGTTTGGGCATCACTGCGGTGCAGGTCACCGGTGACACTGTCGCTCTGGTCAGCCAGACCCTCCAGTAGAGCAAGCTGCGACTTTTGTTAAGCTCAGAAATCAGCTCCATGAGAAGTGGCAGATGCTGCAGTGAAAGGGGGTATGGTGCGCACGCAGGACTGGTGGCTGCCTGCATGCACGTGGCGTACACGTGGCGGGTGGGCCCCGTGCAGTCCCACAGGCGCCGACTACAGCGCGCCTGCATACAGTGAATTATAGAGGCCTTTGGCGTTCGCTATAGCTGTAGTGAATATTCGCTGTGGCGGGGTGGATTTGTGTGGCGAGTGATCGGGGGTAGCGGCGGCGTTCGCTGTAGGCAGGGTTTTCGCTATGGCGGGGTTCGCTGTAGCGGGGGAAGACTGTACCAATAACCGTTAGGAGAGATTACGGCTGCTGCTGGTGAGAGCCACTGCCTAGCGGTTGAGACTGGCTGCGGACTTGGGCTGGAGTGCCATTGATCCACAAGCTCACAGTATGCACACGTGGCAACAGGATTAGGATTAGGATTTTTATTGTTGCAGCGTCCCACACGCGGTCGCCCGCTGGATGCTGGAGCCATCCAGGCGACGTGACTTGGAGATATCTGCATGTTGTGACTGAGGTATACATGGATACCGTGCGCCGTTGGTACCGTGTGCCGTTCCAACAGGATTAGGATTAGGATTAGGATTAGGATTAGGATTAGGATTAGGATTAGGATTAGGATTAGGATTAGGATTAGGATTAGGATTAGGATTAGGATTAGGATTGTTACAGCGTCCCGCGGTCGCCCGCTCCTGGAGCCATCCAGGCTCATGGGATTGTACAGTAAAGCACCAACGCTGTGTGACTGAGATTCAGGTGGGCACATACGGGCATTCGGTCAGTGCTTGGCACTGGACATCATGTGGGTTAAGGGTTGAGGGTTTACCCCAACCCCCTTGGCCCCGTATCGCCAAACTATAAAAGTTTGGCGACATCGGGCCAACCCATGACGCACCTTACCTAGGGAGCCAAGAAGAACAGCCCCTTGGCAACTCCAGCCCCTTATAAACACCTCACATGGGGCCACCTAAACCCCTTCTCCTAACCCTTCTCTGTTCAAAGCCATGTGCAGCCACATGGCTGCCTCCTTTTCGTGATCAGCCCCCATGGGACCTGGCGTGCGTGGCCAATGAGCTGCATGCAACGCAAATGCTGGTTGTTTGTAGGATAAAATAGCATCGTTCCACGATAAGGTCCGTTACATACATCAGCGTCAACGCTTTCAAGCTGCAATCGGAAGACGTACAACAATCTCTCCTTGCAACCTGTCTAGCCGCGCGGTCACCGCCCCGTCGACAACCACTCTGCTGGGCAACTGCACTCGGTGCACGTTTCCATGTGGGGTGCAGCTGCTACTCAGGATGGTGACCAGTAGCATGTCCTCTTTGGCGTCAACAACGACATCATTGATGGCGATGTCTCCTGAGCAAGGTACCTTGACACGCAGGTAAGGTGCGCCACGATGCTTCACATTTGACACCTGCACAGGCGATGAGGCAGGTACTGTTGATTGTTTGGCAAAACACAAGCGCAAACATTTGCTGGTCCCGCTTGCGTTTGAGCTGATACATGCAAAAGCTTCGACATGTGTACGGCACAATGCAGGAGCGCAGGACAACAGAGCGTGTGGGGCGAGCTTTTTGCGTGTGTACCTTGATGAGGAGTGGTCCGCGCTTTGTAGACGCTGCATATTGACCACCGCTCAATTCGACATCTTTGGGGCTGCTGTCCACAGGCACCACCTCCTGAATGAGGGGCCGTTGCTGACTCTGGCCGGAGCCAGCCTTGCAGTAGGTGCCACCGCCGCCGCTGGTGCTGGTGCTGCTGCTGCAGCTGCTGCTGCTGCTGCTGCTGGCGCTGCAAGCATTGCTATGGCCGTTGCTGCTGCTGACCTTGTCTGCCTGCAATACGCTTGGGAGCGCGCAGCCGCCGCTGGCCGCTACCTCGTGACAGGACGCACCGGCAAGCGCATCCACGCCGTGCGGTGGCGCCATGTGCTCAAGCCTGGCGCACGTGCGGTCTGTCCTCATGGGGTGTCTAGGAGCTGTGAAGTCGCAATTGACTGGCCCATGCGCGGTGCAGTGTGCTCCGCCCGGGACGGTAGCAACCTGCAAGGGGTTTCCCAGTGTTTATGCAGGAGTAAGTTGGCTGTCACCAAGCTAGCTGCGCTCTACTCAAATTGCCTACACACCCTTGACCACACAGCAACGCCTTACACCAAGAGCATTCTGCATGCATCAGGAATCACTTGGAGCTCCAAAAGCGGCTCACCTGCATGTGAATGCTGGAGTAATCCACCTTGAACTTGCCCCGCCGCTCGACCTCGCGAATCGCTCCCTCCACAACCGTGCGCCGCGCTGCCTCCGGCTGCCCTGCCATGGCGCAAGCCAGGGCGCCTGAATTGCACTCCAACCAGTGTATGGCTGTGGCAGGTCGGCCACGCGTTGGCGGCTCTACAGCAGGCGGCTTTCGCTCGACAAAGCCCAGGGGCACGCCATGCCATGCGTAATCTGCCTCGCGGACGCTGCCACCGCTGGAGCTGCCACTCCCTGTGACATCTGCTTTGCCCTTGCTGCTCTTGCTGCTGCTGCTGCTGAAGATGGTGCTGATGCTCCTACTATTGCTGCTGCTGCAGCTGCTGGTCGTGGTGCCGTCTGCGTTGTGTAAACCCTGGTCTATGCCAGCACCTGTCGGTGTGGGGACACTCCAGCCACCGGCCGGCACAACTGCTGGCAACTTGCTGGCAGTGTGCTGAAAGAGACATACGACCACCTTCTTGGCAGCCATGGGGGCAATGACGCCGTCGGGCTGCAAAATGCTGGCATGCACCACCAGCATTGGCTGATCTGGTGGCTCCGTGTTTCCCATGGCTGAATTGAATGACGCATGGCGCACATACAAGTGCAAGTGTGACAAGTGGGTTGGCAGAGGTGTGACGCCAGAATCAAGCCCCGGACGTCTGTGAGATACTCAAACAAGCAAGTGCTGGGCAACATACTGCACAGCACACCTGCACCACTGCAGCAGTACAACTGCATCGCAAGCATGGCCCAATAGCCCTGCTCATCGGCGCACCTGCTGTGCTCTCAGCGCGCTCCGCAAAGCCGGAGGGCAGAGCCACTCCAACCTCGCGCGCCAGGCCCTCCAGGTGGCGGCGATACGCAGCAGGGTCGCGCGCCGCCAGCCGATCCAGCTCTTGCCATTGCTGCAGCAACTGGCGACGCGCCTCTTCTTCTCCAATGCCATGAGCGGCCTGGAAAGGGTCTGCGCCGTTGAGTGCGGCGAGCACGCCCTCCATCATTGCAACAATTGCCCGGGCTGCTGCGCCCACTGACGCTCTCCTGAGGCTGCAGGCTGTGGTGGTGCTGCTGGGCTAGGTCACTGATCGTCACCCTTCAGGACAGCGGGTGGCTCCTGCCCACGCCGCCGGTATTGCTGAATGACGGACTGCTTGAACTGGCGCGCCCGCTCCTCACGCTCCGTGCGCGTCTGCTCCCAGCGCTCTGCCTCAGTCTGTGTTACCACGTTGTAAAAACCTGCATGCAGGTTCCAGAATTGATTTGAGCGTGCACGGATCAAACAGCAGCAGCAGCAGCAGCAGCAGCAGCAGCAGCAGCAGCAGCAACAGCAGCAGCAGCAGCAGCAGCAGCAGCGCTTGAGGCGGCGACGACAGCATGGACTTCGGACACATGTTTGCGCTCTTCTTACTTGACCCCTTCACCACACCTGTTTGCAGCATGAAAAGCTCCATGCACCCACCAACCTACAGGCATCATGGATTGCACGTACACACGCGCAGGTTGGTCGAGCCAGCGGCGGCAGCATCTGGCTTAGCCACGCTTCATGTACTCAATGCTTGCGGCGGTGAACGTAAAGACCAGGGGAAGGCGGCAGCACCGGAAAGTGCCCTACAGTCAGCATGAACCTACCACAAAGCAGGCTGCCGACAGCTTGAGGTAGAACGTGCGTGGATGGGCGGCCCGCATGAGGCCCAAAGATCATGGACAAATGTACCGTACGAGGCGAAAACGTGGTTGGCGACGAGAAACACGGTAGTATGATACCAGAACCGCGAGCCAGCGTTATATTAGCACGGTATAACATTTGCGATGAAGCAGCCGAAACGCTTGCGAGCTATCATAGTCGCTCTGTTTTGTACGGCCTGCTGGCAGCTAGATCTAGTGTGCAGGGAGATTTGTATCTCCAAGTAAGAGACAGCAAACTGGGCATGAGCGTACTGATCTAAGCGCGGAAACGTTGCGTGCGGAGCTATCGGTGCGCTTGAAGGCACTATTGGCATCCACAGAAACCAAAATGGGTGGTGATGCGCCTTCGGCGAAGCGTCGGAAGAGGTGCGCTGGCGGGCGCTGAGGTCGGCGCACAGCAGAGCACACACATGCCTGAGCACTGGCCCACGGCCGGCGATACAGGGGCAACGCACGCCTCGTACATTAGCCACGCCTGGTGGATGCCCCGACCTCTGGCACGGCCAGCACCGCAGGTTGAGTAAGGACACAACCAATGCGGCAGCGCTGCCGTGTCGCAGCCTGCTCCCACACTGTGATGGCCCCGCCCAACTCATACCAGGGAAACCGCTTTCCCACGAGGCACCATCAAGCGTGTCAAGGTGCACAACTTCATGACATACAGCGGCACAGTGAAAATTGAGCCAGGGCCGCGCCTCAACCTGGTCCTGGGGCCCAATGGTGCGTGGCTAGCAGGCATGGGGGACAACCCATTGTGCTGCACAACAGCAACGCGCCGACCATGCGCCAAGTGGGGCGCATGGTCGGCTCTAAGCCCTGATGACTGCCGCTAATTGGACACCGAGCTGGATAGGGGGCTGAGCATATTTGCTGTGAGGCCACCAACGGGGCCCAGTCCACTCGTCCGGGCCGAGCATTTACCCGCTTCAAACATGGCCCACTGCCGCAGGCACAGGCAAGTCGTCGCTGGTATGCGCGTTGTGCATCGGCCTCGGCGGCCGCCCACAGGTGGGCAACAATTTGTATGCAGCAACTCACGCTCGCTACCAATTAGGCAGGGATGTTGTGATGCGCTTGGTCATTCGTTGATGGCGGCTTGCGCTCCACGCCGCATGCAGGGTGTCGAAGGTTGCCATGCCATCTGCCACACGTCCCTTCTCCCTGCCATTGTACGCGCTTATCCATGACACGCACACGCACGTAGCTGCTGGGCCGCGCCGACAACCTGGCCAAGTTCATCCGGCGTGGCTGCAGCGAGGCCTGGATCGAGGTCACTCTCAGTGGGGGCAGCGGCAGCCACGACATGGTGGTGCGGCGCGACATCAAGAAGGTTGCTCGCGAGGATGGCGGGGACAATGGCTACTCCACAAAGTGGCGCCTCAACAGTGTGCAGGGACTTGGCACTGGCTGGGTCAGCACGCAGAGACCTGCTTTGAACTTGCAAAGTGTTGTCGTACATGTGTTGCAGGCATGCTAAACGGGCCCATAATCCATGCGTGCTGAGCGTTTGTAGTCGTGTCATGGTTTGCTTGATCGTGCTGCGCAACCAAATGCAGCAAAGCCGCTGTACAGTGGTTGCGCTCTTTCTCACGATCCACGTACCCGCCCTTGTACGCCCCTTGACTCAACCCGCAGGCCGTGACGCGAACCAGAGTGAGGTGCACGACCTCATCAAGGAGCTCAACATCCAGTTTGACAACCTGTGCCAGGTGGCGGGATGGGGGGGGCACGGCGCAGAAGGGGCTGCAATAGGATGGCCCCGCCGCCGGGACAAACAGCCTTTTTATAGGAGCCTGCACATAGAGCACCGCCTTAAACTTCCACATGATATCGACATTGCCTTCACCTCCCCTCTCCCACTCGTGCTCCTGCCCTTGCCCTGATCTGCACCTCCACCCTCACCCCTGCCGAGTGACCCTAGTTCCTGCCTCAGGACCGCGTCAACGAGTTCGCGCGAATGGACCCCTGCCAGCTGCTGGAGGCGACGCAAAAGGCCATTGGCGACGCGCGACTGGACGCCCTCCACAAGGAGCTCATTGTGAAGAGCCGCGACGCCAAGACTCTCGGCACGGTGCGATTGAAAGGGTGCAGAGGCAGCTGCGTGGTGACTCGCCATATTCACGCCCTTGATTTCACCTCGGCCCACCACCTCACTTCAATCAACAGAGGACAGCCTCGTAGATTACTGAGCTTTGGCTTGCTATGTTGCCGTCACCCCTTGCAAAGCCATCACCTGAAAGCAGCTGGCCCAATCGTTCTCTGGGTGCCTCCCGCCCCCAGAGCCTGGCGGCGCTGCAGGCGCAGCTGGCCAAGCTGGAGGCCGAGAACCGGGCCCTGGAGCGGGATGCCGAGCGCTTCAGAAAGCGGCAGAAGCTGCAGCGCCAGCTGGATGACATTCGGAAGAAGGTGAAAGGGATGGGGCTGTGCTCGGTCAGCATGTGCAGGTGTTTGCCGGCCCCAGAGGAGCAGCCACAGGTCTGGAGAGTGGTTGCACACAGCCATGAGATGATGCAAGTATCCTGGTTTCGGCAACGGGCACTGCGGTAAAGACACATGCTTTGCAGCCTGCACACCCGCTGGCTGCGCACCCTGTGCATTCGTGTTGCAGGAGGTGTGGGCAGCGGTGTCGGAGAAGGAGGCAGTTGTGGCTGGTGACGAGCGGGCCTTGGAGACAGCCAAGGCCATGCTGCAGCGCCACCGGGACGAGGCTGCGGACGACGCCGCACCCCTCAAGTGAGCGGGCTGGCTGCGGAGGGTGCATGGGTTGGCCTCGCAGTGGGAGGCTGTGCTGCTGGCGCTCCTAGGCTCGTGACTGTTATTGAGGACGCCGCATTGTCGTTGTCACTGATGTGAGGGACGCATGGACGGTACGCCCACCCCCACCCCCCACCCTCCAGGGCTGCTCGGCAGCGTGCCAAGGCGCTCAGGGACGAGCAGCAGCGTACGGCACCGCAGCCCAGCGCCCAGTCCATGGCGTCACGCCGCAAACGCCTGCAGGACAGCGCCGAGAAGCACGTGAGCTTCCAGAAAGAGCCATGGCATCGGAGGGTGCTGGGACAGGACATCTTATATCTTCCTCACGAATTCACCCTTTGCACCCCGCCGCGTCACCAGCCCGTGATCAGGGCGGGCCTGCTGAAAAGGCGTAACAGCACCCCCCCCCCCGCCTCCCGCCCCTCAGATGCGTGAGTTCACGGCCGTCTCCGACCGCATCGGCAGCCTTCAGGCAAAGAGCGACGAGTGGCGCAGCTCCATTGCCCAGACGCAGCGCGAGCTGGCAGCCAAGCAGAGCGAGTTTGCGGCGCTTCCCCCAATGGTGGACAACAGCAACGCGATTGCAACACTGGACGGGGAGAGGATGCAGCTGTCGCAGGAGGTGGGGCCGGGCTGAGGCATTTCCACTGCCAGGGTGGTAGTGCGGGGGTGTGGTGGGCTTCACGCGGTGATGGGCTGGCTGTGCAGCCGCTGACAAATAATGACCACAGCTAATGCCCAAAGAGCAACGTGTACGAGACCGTGCAGCGTTAATTCTCGACACACCCACCCACCCCACCCCTCTCCCCCACACACAAAGACATGAGTGCTTTTTGCTCAAATTGTGCCACACTCACATGCGTACCAGGTCATGGCTGCTGAGTCTGACATCAGGGGTCTGGAAGACCGCCAGACCCTGCTGCACAACAACATCATGAGCATCAAGCGTGAGCATAAACTGTAGGACCTTGCGGTTGCAGGGCCACAGGTGGCGTTTCTCCCTTGCGCACATGCACACGCGCACGCGTGCACACACACACACACACACACACACACACACACACACACACACACACACACACTCTCTTTCTCTATCTCTATCTCTATCTCTCCCTCTCAGCTTGGTCACTATCATGGGTTCCTCATAATTCTGTCTTGCCTTATCACGTGATGCCCCTATCGATGTCCTCCAGAGAACCTGGCGCAGCTGGACAGCTCGCGGCACCGACGCCTTCAGGCAATGGACATGGCACGGCCAGGGCTGCGAAGCATGAACGCGTGGCTGGAGCAGCAGAAGGCGGCGGGCGCGTTTCAGGGCGAGGTGCTGGGCCCCTTGGGCCTTGAGATCACGGTGCACGACGCAGCCAGCCACTCACGCGTGATTGAGGCGGTGAGCGCGAGATCCAGGCGGTGTGTTGGTGGAAAGAGGGAAGGAGGCAGCTGAGGCCAGAGTGCAGCAGGCGGCTAGTGACCTTCAATGGCGCACCAAGAGTTTAGCTCCTCCCGTCTACATCACGATTGACCTTGCTCAGCGCTCCGATGTACAACTACTCCCCTTGTCAAACGACGTCACTTCCAGGCGTGCCAGGGCATGCTGTTTGACTTTGCGGTCACGTGTCGTGCGGATGACGAAAAGGTGTCGGCGCAGCTGAAGCACCTTGGAATGGCGGGCACTGTGCACGCGATCACGTGGGCCCTGGACCAGCCCTACAAAGAGCTGGCAGGGCCGGCCAGCACATACCACCAGTAAGCCTGGGGTTGGGCCCTTGGGGCGGCGTAGTGTGCTGCAGCGGGCCTTGACTTTTTGTAGGGGCTCCTCATAGCAGCCGCCAGGCAGCAATCAGGCGCCGCTTTTTTGTGCGCAACAAGCCACTCTGAACAGAGCTGACTGCAATTCAGGCTGGATCCACCTGCCCCGCTATGAGGCGCAGTCCAGTCCCGGGCACAAACACGCACACTTATCCCTCTTTAATCCGCCTCTCGTGCTTTCATCCCCAGCTACGGTGTGCAGTGTACGCTGGCAGAGCTGATCAAGGCGCCTCCTCTGGTGATGCAGGCGCTCACGAGCGGCCCCCCAGCGCTCAGCAGCAGCCTGTTTGCTTCCGACAACGCCAAGCTCGACGCGCTGCTGACTCAGTGAGCATGGGCCGCAACGCGCGCACACAAACACACACACACGCAAGCAGGTGCGCGCGCTCGCGCGCGCGCACACACACATGCACGCACGCACACCCACGCACACCCACACACACACACACACACACACAGTCGCCGTTGCTGCTGGGTCAAACTCGTGCGTCATGTGCACCTGCCCGTTTTCATGTACATGATGGCCTGCCTTGGATAGCCAATGGTCCACTGCTGGGTCACATGACGTTTACGCCCCCATATCCTGATTTGAGTCATCCGACATGCACACATGCATAAAATTGCCTGCATGATGCATTGGCCCTGCCTTTTTCTGCAGGAACCCGCGCGTGCGCACTGTGTACACCGGCAGCTGTGAGCACCGCGTCATCAAGGCCTCCTACGACAGCGATCACGGACGCTCTGAGAAGGTGCTCATGGCGCCGAGGTACCTTGGGGGTGCAGGGCTCACAGCTGACCCACAGGTGGGAAGTGCACAGGAGTTTGAGAAAGGGCGGGGGAAACTGCACAATGCAAATGATACACACAACAGCCTGGTTTGTGGGCTGCATGCCATGCAGGTTAGGGGCTGCGCGCACAAACGCCCCCCTCCCCTAGGCCGCTCATGTCAGGCGCCACGATTCTCCGTTGCCCCTGCCTTGTACAGGCCAAGGCGCAGGCGCAGGAGCGGCTCCAGCAGGCGGAGGCGGAGCTGGCGGATGTGGAGCAGCAGCTGGCACAGCTGGGGGCGAAGCGCAGCGGGCTGCTGCAGCAAGTGCAGGGCAAGCAGGCCGAGCTCGAGGACCTGCAGAGGCAGCAGCAAGCCTCCATCAACAAGTGTGGGGGCGTCCTATGAGTGTATCGCACTATTTGACTGCCGGGTCAAATCATCAATGCCCCGTCCGCTTTGCGGCCCTTGCGTGCTCTTTTTGCACAACCGCATGCAGTTGGGCGATTATCATTGCCTCTTCCGTTGGCTGCCTTAATATTACCTCCCCTCTCCCACTCACCCCCTCTCCCTCTCACCCGGCCACCACCACCACCATCTCTCACACTCCTCTCCCCCCCCCCCCGGGCTGCAGGCACCAACAGCTGCGCAAAAGCATACTGTTCTTCCAGAATCAGGTCAAGACCAAGGAGCAGCAGCCGGACCCCCTGCGCTCCAAGCCGGACCTGGAGCAGCAGCGCGACGGCTTTGTTGAGGACCACTACAAAGCGGTAATAGAGCTGATGCAGCTGGTGCGCTCACAGTGGGAGGGCGTGCGGGAGCGCGGCGCGGCTGAGCTGGCGCTCAAGGAGGCTGAGGCGCAGGTGCGCGGGACCAGCAGCCTGCTCGAGGGAAGGGGGTATTTCAAGAGGTTCTGTGCGGAGCACGGAGGCCGGTAAGCTGCCAGTTTTGGAGTGCACATGTTGCCGAGTTGCGCCGCATTGACCCTCTGTATTGGCAAAGCAGGCAGGCTGGCTGCCCACGCAATTATTTTTGAGTGCTGCTGGTCGCAGGTGTCAGCCCTGGAGAATGCCACTAGCGAGCGCAAGCAGCACGAGGCCTCGCTCAAGGAGAGGGTGAGTGCGTGGTAGGGGGGCGCCCCGTTGAGAGCAGCGAATTGAGACGGCATGCATCTGCACGCAAAACATAACACAAGGCTGCTGCACCCCAGCCACCGCCATGGCGACCCTCATCGCAATGCATGCCTGTGACAGGTCAACAAGGCGCAGCACCTGGTGGGCCGCAGCCGCGGCATCTTGGAGAGGGCCCACAGGGCAGCTGAGCTGGAGGCCCCCCTGGATGCAGCGCTTGAGCGGCGGCTGGACGCGCTGCCGGACGACATGTGAGGGGGCTGGAGAGGTGGCGGTCAGGGTCAAGACGTAGGAGCGCAAAATCAGGGCTGGAGAGGTGGCGGTCAGGGTCAAGACGTAGGAGCGCAAAATCAGGGCGGGTTGCTTCAGACCCTCCTTGCACTCTTGAATGTGGACTCCAGTCTTGGGACGGCATCTTTATACACTCGCCTCTCAACTTTGGCGCCCTGCTGGCCCCCCACCCGCCTCCCCCCGTCTGCTCATGACTGCGCTGTCTGCTCCACGGCCCAGGGACGTGCTGTCACAGCGGCGCCAGGCGCTGGAGGCGGAGGTGGCGGGCATTGTGTGCAACAACCCCCGCGCTCTGGAGGAATACCAGGAGCGGCAGCACGCCATAGAGGACCTCAGGCGGGACGTGGCCAGCGACGAGGGCGGCCTGGCCGCGCTCAAAGCAGAGATGGAGGCCGTCAAGGTGACGAGGCTGGGGTGCCGCACATGGGCTGCACAGGGCGCGCATACGATAGTTGCGGGAGGAAGGGGCCCTGGTCTCAACCCAAAACCCTGGCACAGTGGTACTGGGCATTGAGCTCGGTGTCTCTTCGCAACCTCCGATGCTTCCCCCGCCCCTGTTCTCCAGTCTGATTGGCTGCCTGAGCTGGAGGAGGTGGTGGCCCGCATCAACACAGCTTTTGAAGCCGCGCTCAGCGAGATCGGGTGCGCGGGGGAGGTGGCTCTGGACAAGAGTGCCGGCACAGAGTACGACAAGTACGCCATACGGGTGAGAGCGCCGACGGCACACAAACAAGGGTACTGTATGTTTGTGGGGCCAGGGCGGTGCAGCGCGTGACCACCGGGAGGGTCCATCACGGCTGTTTGTAGGCACTGGCTGCGCTGCATGCACCTTTGCAAGAAACACTGGCGGGCACAACTGCGGCCCCACCTCTCGCCCCGCTCCTGTGCCTGCCGTAATACGCCTGCAGTACAGTACGTCCCACATCCCCTCCGCTTGCCTCTTAAACGCGCAACCCCAGATCAGCGTCAAGTTCAGGGCGAACGAGGAACTGCAGCTGCTGACGGCGACGCGGCAGAGCGGTGGCGAGCGCAGCGTGAGCACCATTCTGTACATCATCGCGCTGCAGGGCGTCACCGTGACGCCCTTCCGCGTGGTGGACGAGATCAACCAGGGCATGGACCCCGTCAACGAACGCAAGGTCTTTGGGCAGCTCGTCGCGGCTAGCACGCGTGAGGGCACACCCCAGGTGAGCGGTGCATGTCTCAGGGGCGGTGAAGATGTTTCTCTGGCGTTTCGACCACAGTGCCACTGCCTCTAGGGACCTCATGCAGCACGCGCTGCTGTCCTGCCGCCTCACGAGTCGACACCTTTGTGTCAACACAAACCCACAGTGCCCACCCTCTCACACTCATCTACACTGGCCCCAATCCTCACATACCCACCTACCTCGTGTGCATGTCCCCCTCAAACTTCCAACTCAATCAGCATATCTGCACCCCCATTGCAACCCCACTCAGTGTTTCCTGATGACCCCCAAGCTCCTGCCAGACCTGGAGTATGGCCGCGACATCACAGTGCTGCAGATCATGAACGGCGCCATACTCAGCAGCAGCACGGCAGGCGTGGCGACCATGAGCACGGCCACGCTGCTGGGGACGCGCACGGCGGCGCCAATTGCAGCGCGCGGGTGAACAGCGGTCGCTGGTGCGCTCCGCAAATCTTGTTCATACATGTGTGCCCTACACTGTGCAGCCCAGCTTTGGGACAGGCCTTTACAACAAGCCCAATTTGGCGACATTTCAACGTGGTCTATCAGTGCAGCTTGCGTAGTGCGTGTGAGTGCTCAACCCGCCAGCCTAACAGTGCAATGGATTACCAAGCTGTTTTTGCAGAGTTGCGGGTCCAGGTTACAAGGAGGATTGTGGCTGTGCGCCGACCAGCAGCTTTCGCAGCTGAAGCTTGATCACCTTGCCGCTGGAGTTGCGCGGCAGCTCAGGCAAAGTCACCAGATGCCGCGGGAGTTTGAAGGGCGTCAGCCCTGCGCTTCGACAATGCTCCTGCAGCTGCGCGCCTGTCACAATTTGCAACCGATCCTGTGATGGGTTGCGCACAGCTGGGTGCTTCCCGGTGCCCTGCTCTCCACGCCATATGAACCCAGGGCGCAGCACCACTGCAGCAGCCACCTGAAGACAACACGTGGGCAGGGGAAGGGGTGAATCAATGAGAGCCCTTCGACTGGAAGACTGAGATGAGGGGGAGCGGTGACTTTGCAGCACGTTCCCACAGGTGCCCACAAAACACACTACTACTGCTTTGTGCGTTGGACACCTTTCAACCCCAAGGTGGGGACCTACCACCTCGCCCAGCCGCTTGTGGGGAAGCCCCACCACTGCAGCTGCCGCCACCGCCGGGTGTGACTCCAGGGCCGCCTCCACCTCAGCCGCGTGCACGTTCTCGCCGCCACTCTTGACGGTGTCCTTGGCACGGCCCAGCAGCCACAGGCGGCCCTGGGTGTCGAGCCAACCCAGGTCGCCCGTACGCAGCCAGCCACTCGGCAAGAGGGCCTGCGGTCCAGGGTGGTGCAAGAGTGCAGCGCGAATGCTCTGAACCTCGTTGGCTGGCTCGCATTGTCGCAGCGCACACTCGCAGGAACGTACCCCACAGACAGCGGCTACTGATTCCCAGAGCCCGTTCGCAAGCCGCCTTGCAGCCTGCCCACCTGCTGTGTCTGCTCAGGGTCGGCCCAGTAGCGCGACATCACATGAGGGCCGCGCGTCAGCACCTCTCCGACCACAGCTGGGCCCGCCTCCCCGCCGACAAGGCAGCTGCTGCCCCTGCCAGAGCCGCCAGTCTCAGGTGCGCCGCCCACCGCTATGACCACCTGGACGCCCGGCGCCGGCACGCCGACGCAGGCGCCCCCTTGCCCAACGGCATCACCCCCGTTGCTGCTCTGGTTGCAAGTGCCGTCGCATCCCCCACACACGACGCAGGTGCTGCCCTGGAGGATCTGATGGCGCTGCTTGAATGGGCCGCAGCCACCTTCCACGCCTGCCGCGCCTTGCATGGGAGCCGCAACGCAGTGGAATGTGATGGAAGAGGCGGCTTCTGTCATGCCGTACGCGCCGCTGACGACAGCTTGGGGAAACAACCGTCGCACCATTGGCACCAGCCGCGGCCGCATGCCGCCGCCGCCCACCAGCACGCGCAGCACTGATGGCAGGCAACCGGAGCCCGTGGCTGTGCCGTGACGCTGCTGCGCCCTGTTATCTGTTTGGCCTGCGCCTGCCGCCAGGTGTGCCACCATGTCCTCCATCATGGTGGGCACCGCGATGAGCGCAGTGACGCGGTGGTGGGACACCAGGCGCACGGCCTCTGCAGCCGAGTACCTGGCCAATCACGGACGACAGCGTTGGGGAGACGGGAGAACCGCGCGCCCAGATGAGGCAGGAGTACTGCTGCCGCCGGCCGCAAGCAGCATGCAGCATGGGTCTGGCCTGCAGAAGTGTCACGCTGTGCGCAGGGATGCTCTTGAAACCTTTGTCGAGGTAGCGACGCGTTCCTGCCCCATACCCCTGGACCCTGACGCCAGCACCCCGCACCTGGGCATGAACACCTGCTGCGCCCCGGCAAGCAGCGCCGCCAGCGCACTGCTGAGGCCCCCGATGTGGCAGAGCGGCGCCACGTGCAGGTACGTGTCCCCGCGGCAGTAGCCCACTACGGCCAGCTTAGCCATGGACTGCCGGGGCGGAGCGGGGCCCGCAGCCCCACGGAGGGGGGGGGGTGACAAGAGTGCCAGACCTGCTCACCCTTTCCACCACAGGCTATCATCTGCTGCCTGCCGAGACACTGTGCTGCAGGGTTCAACCAACATGCAGTTCATTTACACCCAGCTGGCCTTGAACGCACCTGGTGCAGCAGCGCCGCATGCGTGAGCACCGCGCCCTTGGGGGCGCTCGTGGTGCCGGATGTGAAGCAGATAAGGGCGGCGCCGTCCGGGGGCTGCAGCAGCTGCAGCTGGGAGGTGGGCGCCGCCGCTGCCACTGCGCCACTGCCACTGGCATGCTCCTGCTCCTGCTGCGGCGAAGTCAACAGGTCGGCGAGGCAGCACGACGACACGAAACACGCCTGCTGCCCCAATGTTTCCGCGGCCGGCCATACGACGGCGTCGATTGGCGTCAGCAACACTGTAGTGAAGCGCGGGCAGCCGTGCTGGCCGTCCGCCACTGATTGCAGAAGCGCGAGGCAGGGAGTGTCCACAAAGACCAGGGCCGGCGCAACCAGCGCAAGCGCCGCTGCCAGCTCTGCCGGCGACCAGCGCCAGTTGAGGGGGCAAACAATAGCGCCGGCATCAGCGGCTGCCAGGACCGCGGCCTGGTACTCCGGGGTGTTAAGCCCCAGCAGCCCTACCCTGTCGCCAATGCGGCAGCCCAACCGCGCCGTCAGGGCGCCGCTGACGCGCACCACTGCATCGTGCAGCGCGCGCCCAGATGTGCTTCCACCGCCGCAGTGCCACACGCCAGCCTCGCCCCACTGCTGACGTGTCGAATCAATTGCAGCTGATATATGCGCCATATTTTCTGGGACGCATTGGTCGGAGGCGCGCGTTTTGATGATGACGCGCGGCCTGAAAGCGACCAGCAAACGCAGCTTTTGCTACGATGCACCTCAAAAAAATGAGGCAAGCCTCTGGTTGTGCACATACCTAGCTTCCAGGGCCTCACGCTTTCCTACGCCCGGCCGTGCTGCGTCATGCCGCACGCTGCACTGCAATGAGACCAGTCTGAGTACGGTACCCTGGGATTGACAGGGCGTTGGTGCCCTGCAGCCAAGGTGCTACCGGTACCGTATACTGAACAACTTCAGTCGTTATGTGGTGCTTCAGCACTGACACTGCATTGCTTTGCTCGAAGGCCGGGTCAACCTGCACAGTCAAAGTGTTCGGACACATGCACACCCGAGCTGACACTTGCACACCCCAGGACCTGGCACGTTGAACACGGCTTCAAAAGGTGATGCTTACGGCAGCACAACAGTGCTTTGTAAGATGGTGACTACAACACAGTTGCATGCTCTTGATGTTTGCTGGGTGCGAGAGAGGTCGCTCGGACGCTAGGTGGTGCATGGTGGAATGTCAACCATTTGGGCTGTGCATGCGCAAACGCATGGGTGGTGCTGGCAAAGGGACAGGTGTTTGGTCCCCATTTGACTTGAACGTAAAACATTGCGGGTCAAGACACGAGGGTTGTGCGCCTGCACCACATGCATTTGTCGCAAGGGTGTGCAGGTCTGCGCTATTGGAAAACAGCAGCGACGAAACACCCACGACATGTATCAGTGTATGAAAGTCATGGTGCGTTCCTGTTTCAAAAGACTCTGCCCAAGCGCGCCTAAATGGTCACCTGCGGAAGCGTTGCAACATGCCGTATCCCTGAGGTGCTACTGGCTTACCAGCTCGACTACCAGACTGCCTCCCCCTGCTCCCACTCCTTCGACACTTCCTTCATTTCAACAGGCGCCTGCGACGGCATGTCCTCGCCCTTCTCGGCCCCTTTCACAGCCTCCGCGGCTGGAAGCGGCTCGGGCTCGGGGCCTGACGCATGCTCCTGCTCCATCGACTCCACTCGAGGTGTGCCAGCCAGTGGCGTCGCCATGATCTGGGGGGTTGGGAACGACCGTTGTCAGTGGACGGTAAAGGTCAGATTTTTATGGTAGGGGAGGTGTGCTGAAGGATGCTCCATCCGTCCCGGCAAACCTGTCGGAGTTCGGCGTCCGTTGAGCTCGTATGCCTTATTGAGCTTTGTTGTGATTCGAAACAGGCTTGTGCTATACGTGTGATTTGCTTGTCCTCGAAGAAATCCCGTGTTGCCGGGTCGGCGACGCACACAGGTATGTGCGATGCAGCTGACCTGGATGCCCCGCAGAGCGGAGCTTCCCGCAGGCACAATCTCCTGACCGCCTCTGCGGCAAACATCGTACACTGGTTACACGGTGTGTGTATGCTGCATGCCTGGAGAGAGAAGTGTTGTGGCCCGCAGATGCGCTACAGCTGCATTGCACAGCAGCCAAAGCATGCGCGAGACGAAAGGGCGGATGCTCCACAGGTATGCGCGGCGGGGCCCATCATCATGATCCACCGACACGAGGTTGCAGATGAACCTGAAGTCAAAAAGGAAGTGCGCGTAATGCGTTGACAGCCGCATGGCAGGCCTTTTATCCTGGGCGGCCGGCCTGCTCGGCCACGCTACCCCAACATTGGCTGCTTTACTGTACACAAACGGTCAGCCTGAAAAATAAAAGCGTATGTTCAGGAGCGAGTCATGATATCAGGCAGGAGTTCAGGAGGCAGCAATGTGCGCAATGTTCAAAAACAGCCTCTGCAGGCACATACAAGGCACGAGTTGGTGGGTGGCAGGCAGGTCGGCACTGGCCCAAAAGCCCACTTCATCGGGCGGACACGCAGGCGAGGCTCAATGGGGTAGGTGCGGGGCACACGTGTGTGCTGGCGGGTTCGAAAAGTGGTTGCTGGTTGTGAAGACAAAATCTAATTGCGTCCACGCAAACGCTGGCTTGCAGCGAGATGACAATGGGCGCATGATAAACAAGATTGGCAAGTGGTGCCCCCACACCTGCTGGTGCCGTTGATCCTATCTCTTTCTCCCTCGCCCACCACTTCACGCTGCATGATAGCTACTTCACCCTGCCATCAGAACACTCCAACATTGATCAACCGCAGCAAAGCAAAGCACACGCACACTGGCGCAATTGCAAGCCACCCCCTCGCTGGCGCCTCACAGGCCGCCTCCAAGCGTGAAGCGCTCCACCAGCAGGGTGGAGGCCACGCTGCCGCCCAGGCAGCCTGCAGTGATGCAGAACCCTGTGACGGGCCCAAACGTCGCCTCCTTACCGGGCGGCAGCACTGCAGGCGCGTGCATGCAGGCGGTGCTCAGCAGGTGGCCCTGCGTGAGGCCCAGGGCCAGCACCAGCCCCAGCGGCCAGTAGTCCGTGCTGAGCAGCACCGGCAGCTGCCAGGGGGACGGCGTCACGACGTGGCACACCAGCAGCGCTGCCACTACCCCCAGCCGCAGAAGGGAGTAGACCAGCAGCGCCGCGGCGGCCGGGGGGCGGCGCCCCCAGGGGCCCCAGCTGCTGGCGATGCGGCCAGTGACGTCACCCAGGGCGAAGATGACAAACATCATTGGCACAAAAAGATCACCATCCCAGCGACCTGGAAGTGCAGGGTTGGGGTGGAACGGGTGGAGGGGGTGGTAAAGTGGAGGCAAGGGTCCACCTGTCTGCCAATGTGGTTGGCAACGATAGGCAGAGCATCTGACGATGACATGCCAATGCTGGGCGCGCAGCGGAACGGAATGCACAAGGCTCTCAGACTGGAGGCTGCATGGGCGCCGCACACCGCCGCGGGTAAAGCTAGTGGCTCACCGTACTGGCCACGCGGCGCGCAGGGGGACACCGTAGCTGGATTGCCAGCACCACAGATGAAGGCTGTGACGCCCGGCCACACAGCCAAGCTGCCCGCCATGCACACCACAATGGACACCGCGTAGATCAGAAAAGGCCACGTGCTGCGCTGCTGGCCGCCACCAGGCACAAGCTGGCTCGCCTTCGCCGGCCCCGCACTGCCATTGGCCTTGACGCCCCGCAAAACACCAGGTCGCGGGCCGCTACCCTGGCCCTGCACACCCAACGCAGCACCGTTGGGCATTGACTCAACAACACTGCCCGCCACGCTGCTGCGACGGCCCTGCGCCCACTGCTGCTGCGCCGATGACGACGCCACAAACGCGGCCGTGAGCCCTTGCTGCTCCTGCCATAGCAACTGCTGCTGCTGCTGCTGAACTGCAGCTTCGAGCATCCCGCGCAGCGCGTTACTGCTGCTGCTGCGGTAGAACCTCAGGGCGGTGCCGCAGCGGTATGACGACGAGGCGCAGTCAGCAAACCCCGCACCCGCAGAGTCATAGCTGCTGGACATGGCCTGCTGCGGCGCGGACGCCGCCAACAGCCTCGATGACCCCGCCCGGCCGCCGCCTGGCACTGCCAATGGCGCGGTGACGTTGGCAGTGCCCCGCAACAGGCGGGGCGCGCCATCGCCACCCACAACGCCCTCCTCCTCGTCCCAACCCGCCTTGTCATCCCAGGCGGTGG